ACAAAAATAGTTTGGGGTCATTAAAATATACTAAGTATTCTCAAGAACCAGTTGGCCAGTTAAGCTGAAACTAAAGTGGAAGCTTCCGGGGGTATTGTAGATTCTGAATTGTTCAAATCATGACCCCTGGGTGTAGGATGGGCCCACAATAGGGAATCAAAGTTTTACATTGAAATATATATGAACATTTTTAAAAATCTTATGAACCACTGGGCCAAAAAAGCTGAAAATTAAGTGGAAGCTTCTAGAGGTAGTTTAGATTCTAAATCGTTCAAATCATGTCATGACCCCCAAGGGTAAGGTGGGCAACAATAAGTATGACAAGGGGGGAAATCTGGTGAGGAACAGGAGGGACAAAGTAATTAAGCTGACCATTGTGGCCCATGGGCCTCTTGTTTCCCTAATTATCTCCCCTTGTTTAAGGGGCACATCCCTATGTTTGGTATTAATGAGAGCCCTTAAGCCAAGGACACCCTGTGACAAATTTGAGAAAAAAAAATTTGCCAAAAGGTTCCTTAGATATGGTCCATATTCCAAAAGGTTGACGCAGACCACAGACACGGCCACAGAATAAGCTCTGAGAGTCTTTGGCTAAAAAGAATTAAAAACTATAGACAAAAAACTTTTAGATTAAAATTTTGCTTAAAGACAAGAATTAGGGCAATCAGGAATCGGAAAAATAATTAGTTTTGTAATCAGCAACAACACAGAAAGTGGATGAATGTGGTCCATAATGTTTAAAAGAAAATTCCAATGGTAATTGATGTTTTCTACAAAATTTAATTAAAATACAGAAAAATGTACAGGTTCATGATGTCATAATTGGTAATTAGGAGTTCATCTATAAACTAGAAGTCTCTGATGAGACTGTAACTCTATCGGTTTGTACTTATAAAAGAGGAAGAGGAAAGAAATATCTTGACTTGAAAAACTGGAACAGCAGGTTGAATAGGTAGAATAATGATCCTTGGTTAAGTCTCTTTTTGTGGCAAAATTTATTGCAGTCAGACAAAATCTGCAGGAGGAGTAGCCTTTAAAGAAAATTACAGAAATTTTTATTTTTAGTAAGCATATCAACATCATTCATCAAAATCAAAAAAGGATAGACAATTTGTATTTATGTGTAGTCTACTTGCACGTTATATGAAAATCAGACCAAAACTGTAGGAGGGTAGCATTTTGAAAGTATTTCACAGAAATTTTTATTTTTAATAAATATGGCAGCACTGTTCATCAAAATCAAAAACCAGTTTATAGAATTATATATCTTAGTGTATTTTTTGTGTGCCAGGTTATATTGAAATCAAACCAAACAGTAGGAGGAGTAGCGTTTTTCAAGTGTTTTAAAGAAATTTTCATTTTTAGTAACCATGGCAACACCTTTCATTGAAATCAAAAACTGATAAATAAAATTATGTATCTTAAAGTAGTCTACTTGTGTGCCAAGTTATATTGAAATCAGCCCAAAACTGTAACTGGAGTTGCATTTAGAAACATTGTTCACAGATAAACGGACAGAGAGATGGACAGACGACGGACACCTTATTATCGCATATGGTTTTCTGGTCTCTGACCAGTTGAGCTAAAAACTGTATGATCTTTCTGCATGCGAATTTAAACGGTTGAGAAAGCATTTATTTAGTTTCTGACCACAATTTCAAATTAAAAAAAAATATTTGTATTTAAGCTGTACCTTCTTCTTTGCTCTTTACAATATCTGAAATAATGCAAGAATCTACATTTTCTCTATAATTCACAGTATCTCTTTTCAGACAACTATATCTAAAAAAAGAATTGAGTATCTACCTTCAATAATATACAAAGTGTTGTCTAACCACATGTTCTTGATGTTAACAGATTGTAGAGGGCAGTTTATTTGTAAATACGTTTTCTATGAGTTTCTGATTGGTGGAAAATTATCTTACTGTCTGAAATAGTGCAAGAAACTACATCTTCGTGATAATTCAGGGTTTCTATTTTTATAAAATTGTTGCCATAAAAACAAATGAAAGTAAATGTGCTTGTTCATGACATATTGTAGACAATTGTATTATTTTGTAAATATCTTTTTAGATGAAGGTTATTATTGGTGGAACTTTGTCATTTTTTTTCTCATATGCTAACACGGAAACTTTTTTATGTGTTTGTTGCTATAAATGGAAAAAGAAACCTCATTCAAATAGTGTGCATTTCAGTAAATGGTCACTATTGCTTGTCATTCACATAATGGTTATAACAGTAACTGTTAGGATGCAAAGTTTTCATCCGTTATGTGTGAAATAATGCAAGAATTTACATATTCTGGATAATTCACAGCATTTTGATATTTTTTGACAATTTTGCTATTATAAAAAATAAGAGATCACCCCTTAAATAGTGTCAAATATTAATTGACTAACTGTTCTTGTTAATGACATATTGTAGAGAGCAGTTTATTTTGTAATTTTTTTTTTTCTGTGAAGCTTATTTACTAAAGAATTGTTATTTATTTTCATATATTGAGACGTAAATTTTAAGGTGTTTATTTCTATAAATAAAAATGAGAACCCCTTCAAATACAGGGCCTAACAGTAAATGGTTACTAGAACTTGTCAGTTCCTGTTGTTAAAATATTGTAGATAGCAAATTGTTTGTAAATATTTTTACGAGGCTTTCAGTATGTGGAAATTTTTTATTTAACCTCACTTTACCTACTAAGACGTATCTAAGTTTTTTTTTTATTTTTTGTGCTAAAAATAGAAATGGGAATCCCCTTGAAACATTTTGCATTTCAGTCATTGGTTTCTAGTACTTGTCAGTCACATTATGTTTATAATAGAGAGTATTCAAATTTTCAATCCATAATGTCTAGAATAGTGCAAGAATCTCTATTTTCTAAATAACTCACTGCATCTATTTTTAGACAACGGTTGCTAAAAAAAGAAAAGAGAGTCCATCTTCAATATTGTGTCAATTATTACTTGCCCAAATGTTTTTGTTCATGACATATTGTAAACAGCAGTATATTTTGTAAATCTTTTTTCAATGAAGCTTACAACTGGTGGAAAATTGTCATTTTTTCCTCATATGCTGAGATGTTTCTATTTATGGGTGTTTGTGCTATAAATAGAAAAGGGAACCCCCTTCAGATAGTGTATATTTCTGTAAATGGTTTCTAGTACTTGTCAATCACACTAGGCTTGTAACAGTTAGTCTGCATTTTTTCCATCCAACATTACATGAAAAAGTGCAAGAATCTACATTTTCTCGATAATTCGAGGAATCTATTTTTAGACCATTGTTGCTATAAAAAGAAACAAGAGTCGATCCTCAATATTGTATCAATTATTGTACAAACACATGTTCTTTTTGCATATTGTAGGAAGCTTAATATTTGTTAAGACTTTTTCTATGAAGCTTCCAATTAGCATAAAACTGTCATTTTTCCTAATATTCAGAGACATATCTATATTTAGGTTCTTGATACTATACATAGAAATGGGAATCCCCCTCAACCATTGTCCATTCCAGCTAGTTGTGTCTAACTACTGTCATTAACATCTTAATATTTACAATATACTTCTTAATTATCCAGCATTGACATCTAAAACTTTGCCAAAATTTGATTTTTTTTACATTTTTCTAAAATACTTCTATTTATAGATATATGTTACTAAAAATAGGAGTAAAAGCCCACCGATATTTTTTCATGAGATGACACTATTAATTCTCAAGTATAAAAACACACATAAGATTTGAAAATTTTCCACGGACAATTTTTCTTATTTAGCCTTAAAGATCTCAAAAAATGCTAAATTCTCCATTTTTCAAATTTTCAGAAACCATGTCAATTTGCATGACCTTTTTCTTAGATTGGGAATATTTCTAGAATAAATGATTATATGCCCTGTGTACCTTAAAAGTTCAAGTTATCATATGATCCAATGATTTTAGTTTGAGTGTAGTAGATACCGATAAATATCCGTTTACATTTCCTTAATTTTCAAGTTTTCATTTGGTCAAAAAGGGCCATCATTCACTTAACCTTGATGTAAGGTCATTTGGAAAAGTTAAAGGTAACAGGCAGATAGGATATAAATTTGTTTTGTTACAGTCTATTTTGTTTTAATAGTAAACGTTATAATTAGAAATTAATAATTAGACACAGAATGTGCAAGACCCGAAAATGTGTCAAGATCTTGACCCAAATTCAAGTTTAAACTCACTTTAGAAAATACAAATTTTGTCCTGGCCACGTCCTGTAATGGAGAAACATTTAAAGTTCATACCTGAAACTAATATTTCATGTTGTTTGGGGCTGCGTTAGGACTTTGAACAAAGGTCATTATGACAAGTTCAATGTTTTCTATATCACGTAGCTCTGACGGAAGACCTCTCGTTGCTTTGCAACAAGCTTTATACTATTTATATCATATGTGTTTAAAACTGTTTGCCCAAAGAGGAAATTCATCAGACTGACTTCCAAGATGGCGGCAAAGGGGAACTACTCAGAAGGAAAATGCATCATACCAAAACTAATTAATTAAAGTTCTAAACAATGCATTCAATAGAATTTAAAATTAACTAATTAACATTGTTTAATTACAAAAAGAATAGGTGAATACTTTACTAAAGTGGATAATTTTCTTATCTTCTAATATTACCTTTTTGTACGAAAGGTCCGTCAAAATCTTACCCGGTGTTAAAAAGGGGGGGGGGAGGGAATCCCCTAACCACTAGGTTCTCCCGGGGTTATTTGGTAATGGAGGGCGGATGCGACTATATAGCCGTCTTCTCGTGGTAGTGGAAAACTATTTATGATATAGCCATTTTCTCGGAGGATGGGTAATCTAATATAAAGGCAGGTTTCCGGTGGGAAGGTGGCTAGCGGGGAAAAGTCACTATAAAACTCCGGTATTTTCGTATGTGAAGTGCATTTTTCAGTATCAAGGTTCAAGCCTATTGTAAATTTCAAGAGATCTTTACTAATTTTGATACATTTTCTCTCTTGTAGACTTGGTAGGCGATTACAACCCGTGGAGGACAAAGATATCAGGTGAGCATTCATATACAGCTAGTTCGAAAAAAATCAATTATAATTTGTTTGCAGTGGTTACATGAAACGTGCTTGGTTTCATAAATTTTCATCTCTCAGATAGACCAATCACCGATATGTTTTATCGAGGAAAGTTCAGTGTTAATATCCTTATGTTACAGTATATTGACATCACACATTAATAAGGTTAAAACAAGTTTCAAAAGATATTTACTAGACACCCATGTTACGTTAGTACTTCTAATATAGCGTTTAAAGCTCAAAACTGACAATATGTAGGCTTTAAAACTCAAAAACGTGTGCAACTGTAAAGGGATGGGTGTTTCTGGACCCCCTTTGTGATTTTTAGACTTAACGAGGCCGAGTCTAATCCGAGTGCGCATGACTTTGCGCAGCTTTTTAGTTTAATGCATTAGTAGGTGCAACATAACACTTATCCTAAGTATTTTAATTTTGATACAAAATTAACATTATATTACGTTATCTGTAACGTTTATGGGTCATAGAATGTTATTTTACGACAATGATTAGGAATAAACGCTGAAATGGTTTTCACGACATCACTGTTTTCCGGTTCTCTAGACAATGCATGACGCTGAAGAATGACGCATGACTCGCTTGAATTTTCAAGACGTCCATGGACATTTTATTAAAAACTGTTGACAGAACATCAAAAGAAACATACCAGCAATCTAAATATTGTTAATTTTTAACCAGAATAATATATCTGCGCCGTTACATACAAAATGTATGCCGGAATGTGGCAAATTTAGAGGTATTTGGCATTGGAAAAAATAAACTTTTTTTTATAATTCCTAGACCAAACCAGATGGTCAACTTTTTTGAAATTTCACGATTTGGCGACTTTTTACAATAACTTTCATGTATTTGACTGAAAAGGAAATCCCTAGTGCAGAAATACAAAAAAATATGCGGAAAATGGGATAATTTGGCGCTTTTCCAACAAATTCCCATAGGGTTCAATGGTAAAATTTGACAACTTTTGAGATGGCCCCCTAAGAAATCGGGATGGTAAACATTTGATTTCTTTTTCTTAAAATAATTAGTATAATAGTATAAATGCATTCAAGAAAATTTATCAAAATATCTAGGGTAGAAATAATTATACTCGGCCTCGTTAAAAGGTCTATGTAAAAGTAACGAAGACATGAAATTGACCCCCTCCCTACAGGAAAACACGGACCTCTCTTTAAATGGTAAGAAGTCATGTATATAAAGAAAAATAAATATACATATCTAAGATAGTGTCCTTTCGTAACTCTTCCCATTTCCCGAAATATTTTTTTTCAGGTTTGATGAAGTTAATCGATTAGTTTTTTGGGGGGGTGGTGTAAAAGGATAAAAATGTGTAACATCTGTTAGAGAGTTGATGTGGACCCTCTTGAAAAATCTGGATTGCTTCTGTAAGACAGTGCTCAAATACCCACCCTCAATATGTGTATGCTTACACAATTATTTCACACGAGTCATATTGAACAAACAATAGTACAACACGTGGTTAATTAGAAAACGGATATAAAAAATCTTTACAGATAGGAAGATTACTGAGAAATCTCTTACTTTCGTAGGGGTTTAATTTTTAGTTGTTTTAAGGTACATGTATAAAGTGTCCCTCGAAATTGTAGATTCCATATATATTTTACAATGTTGCAAACCAAGGTCAAAATGTACGATCCTGTCCAATTGTAACCTTGGTTGGAGACGGCTTTAGGCAGACTGCGGTCCGTTGCTTATCATACGATATTGTACGATTTATACTAGTATATAACTACTCAACAATTCGTTATCCGTTCAAATCCCCGGAAACCCATAATTGTTCCTCATATCACAGAAATTTGATCCCACGAAAATATGTGATTTTACAGTAATTCATTTATGAAAAATTATCGATAATTAATAATTCATTTAAGAAGTGAATCTTATATTTTCTAATAATCTCGCACCAAAAACCTACCAGTTGTGTTGTTAATTTTTGTTATATCCCAAGAGGTATGTAAGAACTTCAAATTTTCCCCCGTAAGATGATATCTTAGGTTCGTAAATGTAAAGGGATGCCACTCAATTATAACCCTGACAACTCTTTCTAGGTCAGCGGAAATTTTTGATTTCATTTGCGCATCTCTTCATCTAAATTTCAAAACGAACATATAGGTACAGTCCCGGAATGTTCTACTTCCCCACTTGAACATTGAGCGAACGCAGAGCGAACGGTGAACGAACGGTGAGCGAACGCAGAGCGAAAGGTGAACGAACGATGAATGAACGCAATTTGGTGAACGGTTGGTGAACGGTGAGCGAACGTAGAGCGAACGGAGTGCAAACGCGAGCGCAAAGTGAACGTTGAACGAACGGTGAACGCAAGATGAACGATTCATTTGGAATGTCTCCGATCTTTTCCTTGCATACATGCATTCTATTTTATTTATTGTTAGGTGCAAAAACATCTATACATCTCCGAAATTATTCATCAATAATGAAAGTTAAAGGGGAGTGCCAGTATACCCAGTAAATTCATCAAGTAAATACAACAAGAAAATATCAGACTGAATTTGTTTTTATTTGGCTGAATGAGCCATGACCGCTTAAAATGAGGGAGCCGAGGCATTAATATATAGCCTTATATGGCATCCCTTAAACTGCAATTGGTTAAACCTGGGAACAGATGTACACAGCATAATAATTGAGTTTCAAACAAATAATCGTATATATATCAAGCAAGTCCATTGAGCCTACTGGTAAGCCTGAAAGCCGCCACGAGACTATGCGGCGGCATAGTCTGCGCCACCAGTAGAGAGAAAATCCTCATCCCCAAACAAAACTAAATGCTTTTAAAACTAACAACAGGTAACAACAAAAGTTAAATGTGGTTTGCCAAGACAATTTATGCATTTTTAGGCAAAAGCATCGCCTGATTGGGTATGTAAATGCAAATGAGTAACACTCATATATTAAATGCTGCCACCAATTTGTGGCAAACTACATGTATGACCCTCTAACTAGACATAGCGCAGCCAAGGCCCAAACTCCCCTAGTTTTGGTGATACTTTCTCAGCAGGATTTGTTAAAAATGTCTGCAAGCCTTGTTGAAGGCGGTACAAAAACATACGGTTGCCAAGCTCGGACAAGTGCACTCCATCGGGAGCGAACAATTCTGGGCTTTTCAATTGGATTTCAGGATAACGAACATACTTCCCCCGGACCTTTTTAATGTAGTAGCAATGAAACTATTCAGGCGTTTTCTTACCTTGTCCAAGGCTTTTTGATTAATATCGCCGCGCTAATGCAGGTGGGGATGGATTTGAGACCACACTAAAACAGTATCTGGTAACAACTTAGCCAAGCCGACCAGGGTTGTGTTAACTTTAAATATTAGCATGATTGACTTTTCACCCCTAGCATCAGGAATATTGTTGCCCCCACAATGCAATACTAATATCTGAGGAGGTTATTCTTATTTTAACAAGGATTTAACATTTGGCATAACTTCAGCCCATCTCATCTCCCCTTACCCTGCCAGAATATGGATGCATGATGCCTTCCTAGATCAAGGTTGGCTCTAAAATCTGATTGCCCGGCCTGGCAAAAGGCCCTTTATACAATGGAAGAACCCACAATCCAAATTCTAATATCTACAATACAAAATTGAGTTGAAAAGACAAAAGAGAATAATACAAAATATTCTGTACATGACATTACACTTTTCTACACCTGGGCATACAGAAAATAAAAATTGTATGCTTAGACAGTAAAGGTAAAGCTACCTTAACTTGCTGAACTGCAAATTTTGCACAATATGACAATCAAAGGCTCATTTTCTAAAATAACCGTACATACATTGAGATTTCCAACGACCCTTGACCGCTATATCTTGCCGACTCGTACCACTAGCTCAAGCATGGGAAGCAGCACCAATACGGAAGGAATGGGTCTTGTACATTTTAGTGTCTAAGCATAACATGTTAATAGCCTTCTTAAATACAGACTCTGCCTGATACCTGGTCACTGGACAGCCAGACAGATGAACAAAAAAAGCCCCATAAGCATTTGTTCTTAAGAGTAAATATTGAATTGGGCAGATTGGACTAGAAGGAACTAATGTGATTGTGGCCCCATTCCCTTCTTGATCAGTTTTGGAGTGACTTAAGGACATAACAATAGTACTGTTGTGTGTTATTCTTATATCACCTACTTGGATAGCATGACCGGGTTTGTTCTTAGAATCCTGAACGAGCTCCAAAATTTGAAAATAACAAAAAAAAAAAATGCAGAGCAAAACAATACACTAAATAACACCGACTCGTAGTCTGATCGACATACTTGAGGGAGGATAGAGAAAATTAAGGTTGCAACGATGAACCGTTTGACGGTATATCGCGGTATATTTTTCCACGGTTCAATTCAAGATACGCTAAACTGATATCGCGGTTCGGATCAATCGGTCCAGAATTATCCGAATCGTCCGTTTTGTTCCCTTTTTTACAATTTCAAAATACCTTCCGCGCAAAATGTAAGGTCGCCGATAACGCATTAACGGCAGTTAAACTCATCTCCAGCATCTTACAGACCTCAGATTTATCACGGAGAAGGACTTAATCAGAGACATATAAAACCCTGGTTTTTATATGTCTCTGACTTAATGTGATTATAAGTTGTTATTATAGATGCTAAGACAAATGATAAACCCTTTAGATCTAAACGTATTCTTTGGTAATACACGATATTTCATCACGTGTGTATTTCGATGAAAATTCGCTCTCTTGTTGACTAAGACATGTTAACACGAGAAATATGACAACTGGTTTTCTAGGTAAATAAAAGGAATAACAGAATGAATGTCTTCCTTTTTCATTCCAATTTAAAAAGAAGATTATTAGGAAAGGTCCCCGTAGTTCACTGTAAATGTTCATCATTGGTTTAGAATATTGTCACAACTCAAAGAACTACCTAACAATCCAATTCAAGTTAACAAAAAGTTTTTT